TTTACCAGGCCTTTCTCCAATTGCTACCAATATTTCTTGGTCCCCTTCATATGTTCTACACCTTAGTTTTTTAGGATTAATCATCTTTAACATTTATAGTTTGGAGTGATAGGTATATCATGTAAGAACTTTAGCTCTGGAGGGTTGGCTACACAATAATGGTAAGCTGGCTTTGGAAGGGGCTTCCTATTAGTCATTTGAGAACAAGGTAGAAATTGCTTGAACCCTTCAACAGGTTGATCAGTTTATAGCACACAGGTAGTACTTATATATATTTGTACTGAATGCAGTAGGTCTGATAGTTGAACCTAGTATTTCACTGGTTTTTATGCTGTACTTAGTGAGACCACAATTTAGTGATAAACTCAGATTTGTAGACTTTTCCTCACATAGGTTTTAACTTCCACTGTGGAAAGTGGTTACTTAATTTTTTGGTAAAGGAAGACTGATGCTGTTGTACAGTGGTATAAAGCTGCTGATTGTGACACTGGAATCCCACATACCAGGGGCAGTTTGAGACCTGGCTGCTGTATTTCCAGTTCAACTTCCTAATAGTGCCCTTGTGAAGGCAGCGGAAGTGGCTCAATTGCTTGGGCCACTGCCATCCACGTGGGAGACCTGGATGGAGTTCCTGGTTCCTGGTATTGACCCGGTACAGCCTTGGCTGTTGTGGCCATCTGGAGAATGAACCAGGGGATGGAAGAGCTCTCCCTCTATGTCTCTGCTATGTTGTCTTATATTTTGAATAATAAATAAATAAATCTTTAAAATATGTGCTTTGATTTTTTTTAAGAGCAAGGACTTTCTTATGACTCCATTTTTGTCATTTTTGTCTCCATCTGGTATGGTGGGGGATACCCCTCAGGAAAGATTGATTGAATAAACATAGTATGATGGTTTTTTGACTAATATTTCACATCAATATTACAATATTGTTCCAACTTATCAATTCAGAATTGTGATTCTATTGCATAACAATCTATCCATTTTTAAGCTTGCCTTCATCATCTATGATTTCAATGTTCTTCAATCTTCATTTACGTTATATTAGCATTCCTAGTATAATGAAGGACAAAGTCTGTGGATACTTAAGCGATGTTTTCCACTTACCTTATCAAAGTACTTTTAAGAATAGTTTTGAAGTTAATGTAAAAATTGCTTTTACTTCTGTAAGTATCTGCACTTCTTTTTTTTGTTTGTTTTCTATACATGTTTTGTTAAGTTTTCTCTATTCTGGATGCTACCATTTCTTTATCACCAAAGCTGTAGGAAGTTTACTTTCACATGGAACAGAGATCATTGACTGAATATTATCAGGCTGTTTTTGTTGAAATCCATAGCCTACCAGAAAGCATAGAACAATGGAATAAGATAGTCTCCCTGTAGGTGTAACTGCCCATTTTTATTTCTTGATGGACTTTAAATACTTGGCCATCATTAATGATAATCCTTATGCAGTTGGAGATGTTAGACCATAGCTGAAGGAATGTAAGGGCTTATTAGGAAGTCAAAAAATTGTGAAGATAAATAGTGGCTGCACTGAATTCCTTTAAAATCACCCTTGTGAAGTATAATATACATGAAGTTAGATTTAATGATTCTTTAAAAAAGATTAAAAAATATTTGAAAGCACAGAGAAAAGGAGGGAAGGGGGAAGGAGGGAGTGAGAGAGAGAGAGAAAAAGAGAGAGACTGACTGTTGGTTCGTTCCCCAAATGGGCCCAACAGCTGGAGCTGGGCAGGAGCTAGGAGCTTCTTCCAGATCTTCCATGTGGGTAGGGAGCCCCTAGGACTTGGTCATCCTCCACTGCTTTCCCAGGCCACAAGAAAGAACCTAGATTGGAAGTTGAGCTGGACGTGAACCAAGACCAATATGAAATGCTGGTGCTGCAAAGAGAGGCTCAGTCTAACAGGCCATGGCACTAACTCATTAATTTAGTGATTTTTAAAGATACAGTACAGGCAGTGAATTTGCAGAATGTGCAGGATCCTGTGCCGATTACATCTGAACTGTTTCTCTCACCTCAGACTATCATGTTATATCTCTTTGCAGTTAATTTCTTTCCTTCTTATTGTGTTATTGATGTCTTTTGCAAAATTTCATATTATTGATATTATGCATTACAATTTTTGTTCCTTCTTTCCTTTGATATACTTCTCTTAAGGTTTTTTTCTGAGTTTATTTTTAATTGGTGCATAAAATTGTAAATATTTGTGTGGTACCAGCCGATATTTTGACATACATAAATTGTCTAATGTTGACACCATTAGTAAACATAGCTATATTCACATTTATCATTTTTTGTTGTGAAAATTTTATGTTGTTTTGGGTATCAGTAACTGTTGCATTTTTATCAGTGAGTAGTTGCGTGTGTAACACATCAAAAACTTGCTTGTTCATTCACCAGTTGGTGAACATTTGTGTTCTTTCAGTTTAGGGCTCTCATGACTAAGGCTGCAATGAACATTTTTATCTGTGTGTGGAATCAGTGTTTGAGTTTCTCATGGGTATATACTGAGAAGTGGAATTGTTAGGTCATAGATAAATATGAGCTTAACTTAATAAGAAACTGCCAAATTGTTTCCCAATGTGCTTGTTTGTACTTTCTAACATAATTAAATGTGAATACCAGTTGCTCCATTATCCTTGCAAATACTGGGTATTTTCAAATCTTTTGAAGTTTAGCAATTCTTACTGGTGTGTTATAGTATCTAATTAAGGCTTTAGTATGAATTACCCATTGAAGATATCTACATTTGCATATGTGGGATTTTTTTTTCTTTGTTGAAAATGTGTTTGGACATCTTACCCAGCCCTGCCCCCTCCCTACACCCCACCTGCATCCCGTTAGTGCGGGTTGTTGTTTAGCAATGGATTTTAATACTGTTAGTGGGTCTGTGTGAAGAAATATGGGGACAACATTTTTTTTTTTTTTTGCTGTTGCAGTTTCAAGAAAGGAATCTCCTTCATGATTTTTTGGTTTCCTGATGTGTTTTTTTTTTAACTATTTGGACATTTGTGGAGCTGTTTTCCTGTCATGTTGGCCTGCTTTGGTTTATCTTTCTTGTTTCCTTGCATATGCGTTTTCCTTCAGCCACATCTGTGAACTCAGTTTCTTGGGAAAACCACATGTAACTTTCCTAGCTTGCCACACTCCCAGTCACGTACCTCTCTGTGGAAACCCTGCCTCTCATGCCCCTGGAAATGCCCTCTTGCGTACTCCAGTTGTCTTTCTGCAAGAAGCAGGTGACCATTTTGTGCTTTTCTTCAAATCCCATGCACCTTACCACACCATGTAAACAGTGGAGAAGACAACAAAAAAGTGAATGGAAAGGAAATTTTGTTTAAAAGTTTTGGCCCAAACAAAAGATCCTGAGTGTACATTGTATTACTACAAGCCCCTTTGTCTTGTTGTGAAGAACAAACTTATTTGAATGGGAATCAAACATATTTGATTATTTTTTCATAACAATGTGATTTTAAAAATTAATTTTGATTTCTGAAATCCCAAATCTGAGTGGGTTTCATGGAAAATATGTATTATGAAAAAGCTATGCATAGATTTAAAAATTTTTCACACTAGAAAAAAACGTGTCTTTGAAGCTATTTTTCCACAAGTGTTTGAAAGTACCCTTGGCATTTTATTTTAGCAAGTGGATGAGATTTGCGAGTGTAAGTATCAATGCAATCAGAGCCATAGAATTTAGGGTTTCTACTTCAGTGTTAGCAGTGATATTTAACGTGCTTGTCCAGCCTTGTTAGGTTATGGTGCAGGAGAGAAGTCTGTTTCGAAAGTTAGAAAGTAACAGAAGTACTAGTCCATGTTGTTACTTGAAGATACTTTGACAAAATTTAGGTCAAGATTTGCAGTCTGAATCATAAACATTTCGCATAATGTTTCTTACACATTACCCTGGAAAGATGATGCTGGTTAGGAATCTGACACAAATCTGAGTGAATTATCCTTTGCCATCAACTGTTGGCATCCTAGGTACTTCCTTAAAATGTTTTGATATTGGTTCTTCTCTAACAATGCAAAATACATAGGGGATCTCCTAAAGGGGTTTCCATTGGCACTCAGCACCCTTTTACTCCCTTCTGCTTGCTCCCCCTCCCAAGTAAACAAAGATACACTGGTTTGCGCTGATGGCATTGGTGCTGAAAGCAGATGCAGGAAAACAAGCCAATTTTAATTGCTACCACACTGTTTTCTCTCAAGTTACCAGATGTCTGTAAAACAGTCACTTTCATGGTTTATGCAAGTATCTATAAGTACATGCAAAGCAGTCACATGTCTGCTAGTTGGGCCTAGGCAAGCCCCTTCCCCTCAAAGAGCTTCAGTTTATTTCCCTCTCTGTAACTTGGAGTCACATTGTTGCTTGAACTCAAACTGAGCTGGGTAAGCGATTTTTTTCCTCTTGAAATTGTTAAATTGTATTCTTGAAAATTGCTTACTGTGGACTCCAGCATCTGTCCCAGGAAGCAGCTCCCAGAGATGCAGGAATGTGTCCTTGTTTGTGAGTTTAAATGCAAACTGCATTTGAGAGATAGGGTGAGCAAAGTAACCTTTTAGTATTTTCTTTCCTTTCAAACATTAATGGCTCACAGTTCTTACCCTTTTCTGAGTTGTGGGAGGCTGTCATTTCCTGCAAGTTCTGTAAACTGGACAGATGGAGGAGTCCCATTTAGTGATGTTGACATTGGAGTGTTGCAAGCCTGAGCTTCCCAGGCTAGCCTCCTTACACAGGCTCTCATTTGGTTTCCTCTCCATTAAATACACAAACAAAGGCTACCTAATACTCCATTGTTTATTTTCTTCTGGAACCAATTTAAAGTTTGTTAGGGCAGCTAAATTAGAGAAAAGGATTTGGAATCCAAGTTTTCCCTGGATTATTAGGAAACTGTCTCCATTACTCAACCAGTTTCTCTTGAGTGATACTTTTTAATCATTTTCATTCCCCAGCCTAATTTTTAATCTGTGTTCTTTTCCTTTTAGAAATTCCAAAAGCAGACGTGCAGAACACTGCTCCTCTTTTTGAATCTTGGATTACAAGCTGAGAAGACTCCATAAAGCTAAAAGGGAAATAACAAGGTAATTACATTTATAATTATTAAAGATGTATCTGTCTGATCCTAAATATAACTCATCCTTAGCTGCACAAAAGATCCCATATCCCATCCCTGTGATCCTCAACTTTGTCATTCTTCCTCACTTTTCCTTCCTTCTCTCCTCCATTGCCTTCCTCCTTCTTCCCTTCATAGGTGTCACTAGCAAGCATTTCTGGAGTCTGCCCTTTGTGTATTGGTTACTGTTCTCAGTGCCTGTGCTTTATCCTTACATTTCATGCCCTGGCAGGAACAACTTGATTAAAAGAGCTGTCCACGCCCTGCCCTTAACTTTGATGTTTGCTGGAGTAGTGCAGATGCTGCTGCCATAGTGCCATGGCTGGATGCAGAGGCTGGTCCTGGCTCCTGCCCCTCACCCTCTCTATCTCCATTAGCCCCAAGATGCATGCAATTTTCCCAACCCTCTCTGGGATTCCCTGAGTATTGTTTGCAATTCTAAACACTCTAGGTAGTTAACATCTGCAGTTTAGACAGTTGTCATCAGAACCCCTCATGGGAGTAGGTGAACCACATCATTGTGGTATTTATTCCCCAACTAGAGAATATATGAACATCCTCACTGAATGTAGACTGGTGGATTTTTGCTCAAAGACTAACATGATATATAGGTTGTAAGTTAACTAATAAAACAAACAAAAAATAAAAACAAACAAACCAGAAGTATTCTAGAATTATTGTGAAAATTAGGGGACCAAGCTACCACAGGGTTTGGCATATTTGAAGTAGTTAATATAGGTTGAACCTCCCCAGTCTGCAGAGCTGAAATCCAACATATTTTCCAAAATCAATATATCATAATATCTATTTTAGAAGATTTATTTTATTTTTATTACAAAGTTAGATATACAGACAGGAGAGACAGGGAAGAAGACAGAGACTTGCATTTATTGATTCACTCCCCAAGCTGCCGCAATAGCTGGAGCTGAGCCAGTCCGAAGCAAGGAGCCTGGAGCTGTTTTGGGGTCTCCCATGTGGGTGCAGGGTCGCAAAGCTTTGTGCAGTCCTCAACTGCTTTCTTAGGCCACAAGCAGGGAGCTGAATGGGAAGTAGGGCCTCTGGGATTAGAACCAGTGACCATATGGGATCTCAGCACATGCAAGGTGAGGACTTTAGTCGCTAGTCTACTGCACCAGACCCAGAGCCCCATATTTTAACTGGCTGATTTTCACCTTGCAAGCACCAGGATCCCTTATGGGTGCCAGTCTGTGTCCTCACTGTTCTATTTCCCCTTTAGCTCCCTGCTTGTGTCCTAGGAGATCAGTGGAGAATGACCCAAAGCTTTGGACCCCTGCACCTGTGTTGGAGCCAAAAGAAAGCTTTTGGCTCCTGGTTTCACATTGGCTCAGCTCTGACTGTTGCGACCATTTGCAGAGTGAAGTAACAGATAAAAGATCTTTCTCTCTGTAAATCTACTGTTCCAATATAAATAAATAAATCCTTAAAAAAAATTCTTCCTGAGCACCAACCTGACCACAAATGGTGAATTCTACACCCCTGCTGAGTTACAGTGTCAGTACTGTACAACGGAGAACTAACTTCCAGCTGTGTACATGATGTGCATATGAAGCAGTTTTTCGTTATGTATATGTAAACATTCCATAATCTAAATACTACTTCACCTAAGCAGTTCAGGTTAGGGGCACTGTGCTTGTGCAATAATTTTTGTTGCTGTGACCCTCTGCAGAACAGAGATACTGATATGTGCCTCTCAGGACTGCAGTAGGCATTGAATGAGGTGATATCTGTAAAATATGTTGGGAGGGCACAGTGCATGTACTTTCAGGTGAATCCTCAGTCATCATGGCAGGATGATAATGGTGTTGACAGTTGTGTTCAGAACAGGATGAATATGATGACGTGGAATGCAGGCTAATATCTAACAATTAAGGGAAAGAACAGTTACAAATTCTGTAATTTCAACAGTAGTTTATTAAATCACTGTTCATATTTGGAGCACAAATATTCATTCATGAAAACTTTGGCTGTTGCAAAAAGCTAAATTCTGGGACCCATATTACAGCAGCACTTCTTTAAATGCAAATTTGGGTCCTAGCTGTTCTGCTTCTTATCCAGCTTCCTGCTAATGTTCCTGGGACTGTAGTGAGTGAATGGAGTCCTGCTGTACACGTGGGAGTTTTGGGTGGAGTTCCAGTTTCCTGGCTTCGGCCTGTACCACATATGGCTGCTATAGGCATTGAGGAGTGCTCCCGGAGGTGGAAAAGCCATCTCTCTCTCCTTCAATTTCTACCTCTTTCTTTGTCTTTCCCTTTCTCTCATTCCTTGTCTCCTTTTCCCTTCTCCATTTACAAATAATAAGATGCACAAACATTTAAAAGTGTTAAATTTTGTGAAAACTGTTTAGCTCTTATTAGTATCCATTTCATAAATATAAAGGAAAGTATATTCTTGGAATATTATTAAATTTCAACACCAATAAGAATAGAGATACAATATTTCAATTAACATTAGAATCCATTATCTACACATGTCTTTGGTTGAAATACACATGTGTTTGTGTCATTGTTTTACTCTCTTGTGATAATGCCTTTTGACATCCTTTCATGGGAGGTCTATGCTGAAAGTTTCTGAAAAGCAAGAAATATAGATACATCATTCCTCTAAATGGTGATGATATAAGTTGGTGAGATCTCCCTCTCTCCTGACTCTCTCTCTCTCTCTTTTTCTCTCTCACACACATACACACACACACACACACACACACACACACACACACACGTACACACATACACACTGCAGAGGGAACCTTTAGTTGCAGCTCTCACTGAGTTTGTTTGCTTATCTGCTTTTGGCCACTAAAGACAAACAATATAAGGATGAATATATTGTAATATGGAGTCATGTACAAATCCTTCAGACTCTTAAATTTAACTTTTTCTTTTCTAAGGACTGAGTATATGTATTTTTTTCAATTAATGCAAGTTAGATTTTTCTAAATAGTTTCCCTGATTGGTATCTAATTATCTTCTCATGTATTATCATTAGTTTCATTGTTTTGTAGAAGGAAAGAAATATCTGATGCTATATTAAGATTTTTAAGCTTTTTGGAACCATTAATGACACCACTAAAGTTGTTCTTTTTTTTTTATGTCAATGCATTAAAGTACAGAAATGTCAAACATTTCTCACCAGAGTCTATAGTCTAGATTCACCAGATGAATCTTCTACAAAGCCTGCTTTATGTCACATACTTGTAAATGTATCATTTAGAGAATGTGTCATCCTCAAAAAAGAGCTTTAAGTTTGGTTTGATTCATGGTGTTTCCAGTTTAAGTTGCACCTGGTAGTCACTATGATGCAAGGGGTGCTGTTCATAGTCCCTTTCAATTGTTTCAGTGGCCTCACTGTCCCTGGCAGTGATTCTTGACGTGGCTTCTCACTTGATTATACTGAAAACCAGACATTGCTTTTCTCCCTTTCTCATTGCTATCCAGGCCCCCAGGCCTTGGGATCATCTTGATTTCTCCCTCTGCCTACACCTGCAGCAGGTAGCATTTCATCTCAGGCAGCTCTGCTTTCTTTGCAGTCTGTTAGCTGCACAGATAGGCATCAAAGAGGCATGATATAACCAAGGACTGTCTGGGGTTGACATACAGGGTGTACTGGACTAAATGAATTCCAGATTGTTCTGCTTAACAGCTCATCCAGTTTTTGCAAATTAATCTCCAAAAGGTGCTATTAGGAGTTTGGTGTTACTTCTTAAGAAAGCAGGCCCTCCTGCCCTAGCTGATTGATGACTGATGACGTATTTGTGAGTTTGAGCCTCTTTATCCTTAAATATTAAGGCTCAGGTATAATTTCCTCTTGATCGGTTGTCAAAGATGCTGTTATTCCTCACCATCAGAACTGGGTTGTTTGTTGGTGACACTTCTTTTGTTCCAAAGTGTATCATACTTCACATATGATATCAGGAAGTGTCTAAAAGGGAAAATTGCAAATTTACCTGCTTGAGTTTTTAATTTTTTTTTTTACTATTTCTTCTGACTTTATTTATTCATTTAGAAAATGCAGATTTTTGCAGAGAGGAGAGGTAGAGAGAAAGCTCTTTCATCCACTGGTTCAGTCCCCAGATGGCTGCATTGGCCAGAGATTAGCTGACCTGAAGCCAGGAGCTTCCTCTGGCTTTCACACAGAGTTGCAGGGTCCCAATCTTTTAGGCCACAAGCAGGGAACTGGATGGGAAGTATAGCAGCCATAACAGGAACTGGTATCCATGTAGGATCCTGGTGCTTATAGGTGGAGAATTAGCCAGTTACAACCATTGCACAGCCTCCTCCTTTATTTATTCTTAATTAAGATATGCTTTGTCTAACTAAAATATCTATGAAGGGCAGTAAGCATTTAGTCCAGTGCTTAAGATGCTTGGGGTGCCTGGGTTTGAATGCTGCTTCCACTCTGATTTCAATTTCTTGCTACTTGTGCTTGAAAGGAAGAAGGTGATAGCTCAAGAACTGGAGTTCTTGCCACAAGCATGGGAGAGCTACTCTGGTTCTTCATTTTGGCTTAGCACATCTTCAGTTGTGGACATCTAGAGAATGAACTAGTAAAACTAAAAACAAACAAATAGAAAGAAGTAAGTGCACCAAGTCATAATGAGGTGGTGACTTACCTTAGCAGCTGAATCAAAATGCAGAGATTTTTCTGGTCCTGGGAAATGTTCACCATTCGTGAATTTCCTCAACAGCTTTACTGTGTGTAGGTGCTTATTCGTTGGTTCCTGTAACGGGTGCACATGAGTATCCACAATACTCTGCTGAAAGGACATGGCCCTAGTCTTTGAGAAGCATACGGTTCATTCTACAGAGTTGCTATCTAACTCTGTGTTTCTCTATAAATTTATCACCTTATTGGCCTGATTAGTTTCTTTTTAACAGAAAGTCCAGGAGGGAGCTGATGAAGGCCTTATCCATCCCTGGTGTTGGATGCTTTGGTTGGGATCGGGTGAGG